ATATTTATGGAAATGATGAAAGTTCATTTATTATGATTTGAATATTTATGGAAGATAAATATGGTTCATTAATTATGATCAACACTTTATACTAGGAAACAATAAAAAACTTCTATGAAATCACATATTAATCAGGGGCAAATTGCATGAAAAAGTAACGTACTTTAACTTGATTCCTATTTTGGGCATTTTGATACCTAAGATGTAAAGTTTTAAACATTTAAGTACCCGGGTAACCCAGTGAATACTAATTTTAGACTAAAAAAAAGACTAATTTAGATTAAAAAATTTCACGTCACTGACTAAGTCAACAAATAATACCGAGTTGGATACCACATCACTCGCCACATCAATATGATAACCGGTTAATACTTCAACCAGTTACCTGAGTACTTAAATGTTTAAAACTTTACATCTTAAGTACCAAAACGGAAGTTTTGAAAGTACGTTACCCAAAATAGGAATCAAGTTAAAATACGTTACTTCTTCATGCAATTTGCCCATTAATCAAATGAAATGGACGGTTGAGATTGAGTTGTATTGGTTGCACAAATGTCAAGGGTTGTATAATAACCAACCTCTATATATGGTATATTTCAAATGCAACCATGTCCATTTATACAACCAATACAACCCAATTAATTGAGATATTTATGGAAATGATAAGAGTTTATTTATTATGATTTGAATATTTATGAAAGATGACTAGAGTTCATTAATTATGATCAATACTTTATATTAGAAAACAATTAAAACTTTTATGAAATCACATATTCATCAAATTAAATGGACTGTTGAGATTGAGTTGTATTGGTTGTACAAATGTAAAGGGTTGCATAATAACTCTCTCTCTCTCTCTCTCTCTCTATATATATATATATATATATATATATATCAAAGTTCTAAATGATGTGAGACATGGCGTAGCGATAAGGTCAAGTCTCAAGCTTACGAGTTATGGCGAGGCCACGTTGTTTCCAAGGCGTGCCTTAATATATATAAGTTAGGTTCAAACGAGAAGATAATCAATTTGCGTGAAGACGATTGGTTTCAATATCATATATGATTACACGTATGATATACTAGCTTAATCATATATGATTAAACACATGTCGCATTGACATCATATAGGTGCTTAATCATATATGATTAAGTACAACCAAACGAGCGTAATCATATATGATATTGAAACTTTTCGCTTTCTCGCAAATTGATTAATTTATTACATGATCCTTCGTGTCTCTCTCTATATACACATACATACATGCATACATATTTGTGTGTGTGCGTGTATACATACATACATACATACATACATACATACATACATACACATATAAACTCAGTGTTTGATTGGTTGCTTATTTGACTTGATGATATAATTCAATTTTATTTTCCACGACAATTCATGATATAAATTCTAGATTATTTAGGTTCTAGGGATTTTGGAGCCGTTTGAGGCAAGTTTATTATATTCTGGATATTTTGAAATTGTCGTCATTACAAATTTGTATGTCTTAAATCTATGTGCGAAACAACGCATGATCGTTCAGTCGAAATAAGCTCTATTTCGAAGGTTGCAATATATGACGTTAGATATGTTGGTATCGGTTTATAAAACGTACAGGGGGTGTGACAATTTTAGTTGGTATTATGCAGTAAGAGAACCTGAAAGTCTTGTTGCTTGACCAGGTGTAAGCATCGCAGAGAAGCCTCTAAAGCTTTTCGTATAATGGTGGATCGCTGCTTCTTTTGCTACGTTATGACTGCAAAAGGATAGTTTCGTCACAAAACTGTGTTTTCATTTATGGGTCCCGTAAAAACTAGACCTATAAAGCATAAAAACATAAGCAAATGGACATAGAATATATGCATATAGTACAGTCTTGTATACGTGCTTGCCTTTCAAGAACCGATGCAAGCATTTCATGGTTAGCCGAGATGACAGACTCTGAGCTCGGATGCATGTGTTGTCCCATGTAGACTATGTAATGCTATACGTTAAAAAACACAAACGATCAGTTGATCATAAGTGATAGACAGAACAACAAAAAACAATATAATTTCTCGTAAATTGAACTATTTACGATGAAATTTCAAGGTATGGAAACAATACCCTTTTGTCAACGGCTCCATGAACAACTGGAAGCGAAACCAGTAAAAAAAGACCGAATAATTGCATTAATTTCATCGTAACGAGGAGTCTTACGGTTTCGTGTTTAGAAAGTGAAGAACCAAGTTAACAAATTTAGCAACTTTGAAGTTAAAATCGTACACTTTAATAGGTCGAATTTTAGGGACATAAAAATTAAAATAAATAAATAATTTTAATTAATTTGAAATTTGAGTCGAAGGGAAGCATCGATTAGCCGGCTGGTTCAAGTAGTTTTCAGAGCCGGCTTTTGTTTTTTTGCTTTAAGAAAATTATGCCAAAATAATGATGATTATTTATTTAAGGAAAAATTGCATCAAAATGAAACCAACTTTTATCTGATTCCTATTTTGGGGAACTAACTTTCAAAATCGTCATTTTAGGGAACCAACTTGCATCTGATTCCTATTTTAGGGAACCAACTTGCAAAATAATTATAGAAAAATAACTAAAATTCGTTTTTTTCCAAAAATTAATGTAATAAAATCTATTTTTCATTTCAAATCTCGTTTTTTTAATTTAGATATCAAATTAAACATTTAAAAAAATCCATATTACCACAATAAAAATTGTTTTTTTACTAATTTAATAGAAACAATTAATTTAATAGAAAAAATTAATTGATGCTATTGGTTAGATATAAAAATCTTGAATGCGATATTTAATATTTATTTTTTATTGCATCAATTAATTTTTTTCTATTAAATTGATTTTTTTTTGCATTAGTAAAAAACAAATTTATTGTGGTAATTTGGATTTTTTTAAAAATGTTCAATTTGATATCTCAATTAAAAAAACGAGATTTGAAATGAAAAATAGATTTTATTACATTAATTTTTGGAAAAAAAACGAATTTTAGTTATTTTTTTATAATTATTTTGCAAGTTGATTCCCCAAAATAGGAATCAGGTGCAAGTTGGTTCACCAAAATGACGATTTTGAAAGTTGGTTCCCCAAAATAGGAATCAGGTGCACGTTAGTTCCCCAAAATGACGATTTTGAAAGTTGGTTCCCCAAAATGACGATTTTGAAAGTTGGTTCCCCAAAATAGGAATTAGGTGAAAGTTGGTTCCATTTTGGTGCAATTTTCCCTTTATTTAACAAATAATAATAATAACATAGGAAGAGGTAAAGAAAATGGAAAATGGTGTTTAGGGATGTTGATAGGTTAGATTGATCGGGTTGAAAACATTTGAACAATCCAATCTAATGTTTGCGGTTTGAAAAATCTTAACTCAACACAACCCAACCAACCCAAATCGTACAGGTTAGTCGGGTTGATACTTTGGTACATTAAATTGTTCTTATAACCTTGAATATGTATTTATCTACTCACACTTTATTTTTCATCATCAATCATTTGATACAACTTATACATACTTCTTAAATCTTACGTATATCACATTGAATTAATTTTCTCAATTTACATATATATGTTCACAGTTACTGAACATATATACGAATGGGTTAAGAGATGAGAAATAGATTGAAAATATGTGTATATGAAAAGGGTATGTGATTGTGTAATTGTCGAATGTGTATATTAATAAAAGCTCAACAACCATATTAAATCCTAGAAATACAAGTATATTGGGGTGGGTTAGGTTAAAATAATAGTAACACAATTTCAACCCAATACGTAAGATTTGAATTTTTTTACAACTCGATTAGACATCGAGTTGCTTCAAATTAAATTATTTCGTGTTGGGTTGGATTAGGTTGATCGGGTTTTTGAGTACCCTTAGGGGGCGTTTGGTTCGTAGAATGGAATTCAAATTCATCAAATGAATTTGACTTTGAGGGAATAGAATGAAATCTGATGGAATTTGACCATGCCTTGTGATTGCGTTTGGTTACATGGAATTGGATTAGGGAAGGAGTCTGTAGGAAAGGAATTGAAATCCTAGCATATTGCCATGAAATTGTAAAATCTGTGCATGAAGGAATCGACTGGAATTGAAAGGATTCCATAGTCTTATTCCATGAACCAAACACTCTATTTGGAATTTGGTCAAAGGATTGGACATTCCAATTCCTTTCAATTCCCATGATCCAAACAGCCCCTTAGGGTGCGTTTGGTTTGCAGAAACGTTTATGAGGGATTTGGATTTGGAGGGATTTGGATTGAATTGGATATAAAATCCATTCCTGTATTTGGTTTGCAGGATTTGGATTGGATTTGAAATCCATTCATGTGTTTGGTTTGTATGATTTGGATTGAGTTTTTTTTTTCTTTTGTAATTATTTTAGTCACCTAATCTCTTTCATCCAAAATGCTTATTTAATCAACAAACATGTTAATCCAAAATACATATTTAACMAYCAAACTTKTTMATYCAAAWTGCATATTTAATCAACAAACWTGTTAATCCAAAATACATATTTAACCACCAAACTTGTTAATCCAAAATACAAATTTAATTGTATATTTGGTTGTTCATCAGAATATGTGGCTAAATCTTATTTACATAAATTGCTTTGGGAAGAGATGGCCATAACAGTAGAGTATCTTGACGACAGGTGCGTTATACATGGAACTTAAGCAATAGATTATGAAATAAGTTGTACATTAATAAGGTCTAAACCCCCCAAAACAGAACTGAAAGAGATGTAATTTGATACAGGTTTCTACATCTATAAGCATACAAATTAAACCTGTAATATAGCATCAGAACCACGACCGTAGGAGAAAGCGACAGAGACGGAGACGACCGTGGGGGAAAGCGACGACGACGGAGACGACCGTGGGAGAAAGCGACGGCGACAAAGACGACCGCGGGAGAAAGCTACGGTGACGGATACGACCGTGGGAGAAAGCGACGACGACGGAGACGACTGTGAGAGAAAGCGACGGAGGTGAGCGATGAAAATGGAAGAGAAGATGGAGATGGCTAAGTTAGGGCAAAAACAATCCCATGAGAATGGATTCTAAAAAACCATGTCTTTTCAAAGGATTCTTAAATCCATCGGTCACGGGATTTTAAATGAATCCCTGGATTTTAAATCCTACAAACCAAATACAAAATTAAAATTTAAAATAATTTTAACAACTTTTTTATTTTAAAGATTGCAGTAATAATTATATTATTAAAATATCTCATATATTATATAATAAAATTTAATAAATTTTTTATCTCATGGTAATCATTAATTTAATCTCTTTTTTCTAAATTAAATTATGAGCTTTTAGAAACAGATGTATAATTAGTAAATGTTAAACTAGTTGATACTGAGACTTGTAAAATTATTTTTCCAAAAGAGCTAAAAATGTTTTTAACCGATAACGAGCTTTTAAATTTAGACGATCAGCTGTATTTGTCCAAACAAATTTCTGATCAAGAATACATTTTTTATGACAAAGACAAAAATATCAGAGTTGGTTTATTACATGAAGACTTAGAATCCAATATTACAGACATTAGTTACCAAAAAGACCTAGTTGACGAAGAAGCTGAAAGCTATAGAACCACTGCTAGAACTCCATTTAATAGAACTGTTCCGCATGAAGGTTTTACATACACCAGTTTTCCTCCTAGAGCTCCTTTTACAGAGTATCGTGATCCTCCTTTTGATACTAGATACGTTGCCAAAGGTTTAGAAAAACCGTTAGAGCAACCAATAAATTTTTAATCTGAATCCAAAGGTTATATTTTGAATTTAACTGCTCATGATCCTCAAATTTGGACAAATGTGATTGAAGTTTGGAAAAGTACCCTTATAACTCATTATTATGGACAAAATCAAGATATGGAAGCTGAAGAAATGTATAGATATTTAGAAACGTTTTTGGGAGAAAGCACAAAAACCATGTGGGAAGCTTTCAAAAGGGAATAATAATTTAAAGTCCCTCGGTAGTAATCCTTATAATTTTGTTAATCAAATACAAATTTTAGCAACAGGAGTTGAGCCGAATTCTGGACAAATGAATGTTCAGAAAAAAGCCATGAGAGAACTTGAGCAATTAAGTTTATACCACTGGACTAGCGGTAAAAAGGTAAAACAATTTTTAAATCATTATGTTTATTTGACTGCTATCGCTGAAAATACTTTTAATCAGGATATTGGAATAAGTTGTTTCATAAATTATCTGGACCATTAGGACTAGAGATTCATGATAAATGGAATAATTTGCCTTATGTTAAAGAAAGTCCAAATTGTTTGTGGTCAATAGGTCAAAGAGCTCAGTTTATCACTAGAACACTTGAAGAAAAATGTGTTGACCTCCAGATTCAAAAACAACTTAAAAAGACAGACTATAAATTTTGTAGAAACATGTATACTCCTCAGACAGTCAGACTTATGGAGCTTCATGCTCCAAGCCCAAGAAAAAATACAAGCATTTCAAAGGTTCTCCCAAAAAGAGATATTTTTTGAGAAAATCAGATAAAATAAAGCTTTATCTCAATGAAGAAAAACATGTCAGAAAATTTAAACCTCAAAGAAATTATAGGAATCGTCTTAGCTGTTATGTTTGTAGCAGTAATGAACACCTAGCAAAGACTTGTCCGAAAAGAATAAATAATTTTAGTAGAAAAAGTACTTTGATTGAATGCGTTAACGAAGACCTTATTCCTGTTGATGAATATATTTCTGATACTGAGTCCATCTATAGTATTATTTCTATAGAAGAGACTAATTTAGAACAAGACAGAAATAGTGATTCTGATCTGAATTGGTAAATGAATTTACCAAAACTCCTCATAATTATGATACTGATTCAGAATTGCAGTCTTGATTGGCAAAAATATTTCGAAAAAGATAAATAAATTGGTTAATTATTTAACCTTGTAATTTTTATTCTTTTTGCAGATGTCTAGACCTCCTCCAAGACCAGGAATTCCTTCAGGAAATAATCCTACAACAAGACCTGTTATTAATCAGACTTTTATTAGCCAGACTAGACCAAATTTTCAAGAACGTCTTAGATTTGGAAATAACGAACTAATTGTTTTTCCAAGTTGAAGCAATATATCTTTCAGGATGCAGAATCATATATCTCTCAATAAGGAAGGATGCAGAATCATATATCTCTCAATAAGGAAGAACGTTGTCTAGTAGACAATCTTTGGGTAGCCTTCGGGAAAAACCCAAAATACGTTAAATATTTTATTGCATGTTTAAATGTTTTATCAGAATTTTTTAGTCAGAACGCTAAACGTTTTAAATTTTATGTTGTGTTTAAAGGAAAAAAGACAGGTTTCTTTCATACTTGGATCGAAGTTCTTGATGCTACTCAAAAATATCCCGGTCCTTTATATAAAGGTTTTAATAATTATGAATAATCCCTTTCTTCAGCCAAACAACATTTAGGAAAGAAATTTTTCGATTCTCCTTCTCTCAGAAATTATACAGAACTCCCTCTAGACTTTTCTGCTTCCAAAGATCCGAGCCATACTCATACTATATTTTGTGATCATTGTGAAACCATGTCCAGAAACTTTAAAATCATCAATGATGACAATACTCAGCTCAGAAACGAGAAACTTGTTCTTCAGAAACGAGTCTCAATGCTCGAGAGACAAATTCTTTCTTTTTCTCTCAATCAGAACAAAGGCTCATCTTTTGGCTCAATACAGAAGATTAAGATGGGTGGACATTCTCCAATGAATGTCAATAAAGGTATCATTGAACCTACAAATTCAATGGCTAGTCCAGCTCCACCGGTGGCTGGTAAAGACTTATCAAATCCGGAGACGGCTATGGGATTGCCAAAATCTCAAAAGACACAGAGGACTCTTGATTCCTCTACTCAAAATCAGACTCAAAACCAAACTCAAAACCCGACTCAAAATATAAACATCTGGGATTCTCTTGGAGAACATGGAAAACATTTTGATTTCCTTGTTAAATACAACTCAACTCCTTCAACCCATGATCCTTCATCTTCCTATACTAAAACAGATATATCCATCCATACCCAATCCCCTGGAGCTCATCATTTAGACTCCATCCAAACTTGCCAAGCCATTATAGACCAGCTTGAAAATACCCAAGACCAAAACCAATCTCCACCAAAAACTAAAAAACCAAAAAAGAAGAAAACAAGAAAATCAAATGTGAAGATTAGAAACGAGATCAATAATATTATTCAAGAAGTGATCAGAACTTTCATTCCTCAGCATACTGACGAAAAAATTTCAGAAGACACTGTTCTCGAAGACCGTTCAAGCTCTCCAGATCCAAGATCAAAGAGGTTACTGTTCAGACTGTGGATACTCGTTCGATTCAATTGCCAGACATAATCTTGATACCTATAAAACCAGAGACAAGTCGAATGATGACAAAATTATCAATCAAGAAAAAGATTCGTCATAATGAAAAAAAAAACAAGACTCTTAGCTTTTGCAGACCAGATAATAACACGTTGCAGACTGTTTATCCACGTTGCAGATTTATTTTTTAAAACCTTGACGCGTATTTCATACGTGTTAAATTCCTTCATACCTTCGTGTCATCCTATCTTTATGTTTAATTCCCTATAAAAGGGATTCTCTTTCAGTTCAAACATCATCGATCATCCATCAACAATATCCATCACAACACACATCACACACTCACAAGACTTCACAACTTCCAACTCTCCTCCATTATCACACCATCACAATCATCAACATCATCATCATCATCATCATCATCATCATCATTCTCCATCTTCATCATCTCCATCACCAACTTCATCCATAATTCCTTAACCTCAAGATTAATAAGATTTTAGCCTAAGCAAGTTTTCTTTTTCTTTTCTTTAATTTTTGTATTAGTATTTAAGGGGTTTTTCGAAAGAGAAATCCTTATGGTTTACTTAATATAATGTTAGATTTGTAACAATCTTCTCTTGTTTTTTGTATTATAATCTTTAAATAAAATGTTTATGTTTGATGTATTTTATTGTGTTGTGTTAAAAACTTTTATTTTCAAAGAATCAAAGCATTAATTTTGTTAATCTTGAGTGGCCTGGAACCCGGGTGTAAGGCCGGAGTGAGCCTTCTTGGCATCCATAAGTGCTGCCGGAGAAAGAGGTTTCATTAATAATGTTCTTGATTTAATGTTTTTAAAAGTTTGTATTTTTAAAAATGTTTGCGTTTGCGTGTTAAAAAATTGATTTCTTGATAAACTCGTATATTACCGGTATTGATCTTGAGTGACCCAGAGCTATGGACTGAGTTAAGGCCGGAGTGAGCCTGTGTTATCGTCCTTCTTTTCTGCCGGAGAAAAAGATCGTATCAGTTTTATACAAGTTTAGTGAGAATTTAAAAAAAAAAAATGTTTTTGCATGAAAATAAGACATTTGAACAATCCAACCTAATGTGTGCGGTTTGAAAAATCTTAACCCAACCAACCCAAACTGTACGGGTTAGTCAGGTTGATACTTTGGTACATTAAATTGTTCTTTTAACCTTTAATATGTTATTTCTTTATTCACAATTTATTTTTCATCATCAATCATTTGATACAACTTATACATACTTCTTAAATCTTATGTATATCACATTGAATTAATTTTCTCAATTTACATATATATGTTCACAGTTACTGAACATATATACGAATGGATTAAGAGATGGGGAATAAATTGAAAATATGTGTATATGAAAAGAATACGTGATTGTGTAATTGTCAAATGTATATATTAATAAAAACTCAACAACCATAATAAATCCAAGAAGTACAAGTATATTGGGATGGTTAGGTTCAAATAATAGTAACCCAATTTCAACCTAATACGTAAGATTTGAAATTTTTTACAACTCGATTAGACTTCGAATTAAGTTATTTCGTGTTGGATTGGATTAGGTTGATCGGATTTTAAAGTACCCCTAATGTTTACTTGAGATTGTTGGATCATCTTTAAAAGATTCTTTAAAAAAAATAGATAATTAAAATTTAAAATAATTTTAACAACTTTTTTATTTTAAAGATTGCACTAATAATTATATTATTAAAATATTTTATATATTATATTATAAAATATAATACATTTTATAATTTGAAG